CACATCCGGTCGTGAGGTCCCTTTCAGAAATTTCATTTTCAAGAAGGCCTACGCTCGGGAGGCCTACGTCCATACAGCTTGCATTCCGAAGTCATTCATACTTTCAAGAGACCCGCATTCAATGAGTCTACTCTGCTCTTCTTCTGTGTTCAGAAGGCCTCTTCCCAAAAACTATGTGCTCAGAGTGCCCACCTGCGTAAAGATTACATCTAGGAGACCTACTTCCTAAGCCCCCATGTTCAGAAGGCCTTCTTGCACGAAGTTTATCAGGTCAGAAATTGGAGGAGACGTCGTTTTTTAAGGCGTTTCTTTCCAAGCTGCGCCGATGGGCGTAATGTCAAAAATTAGAGAAACCTGGGGAGGGTGCGTCAGCACCATTCCCCGCGTGGTGAGACCGATGCAAGTAATCTGTCAGAGCATCGGCTTCTGAAATGAATTCTGCTGGACACAAGGCTCTTTCAAGAAGGTCTGATGAACACAGGATCTCTGCTAGAAGGCCTTCCGAACACAAGTGCTGTACAGACGGTCGCCAAACTATTGCTGGCGACACAGATGGCACCACCGCCTACGCCGAGAGCATCCGAGTCATCACGAACCAGGTCAGCTTCATAAAAAGAGGCATCAATTTGGACACATGTAGATTGTAAACTGTAAGCATGACCCGGCAGTCATGCTACTATGGCGTGCCATCTGGTCGTTAATTGCCAGAATATTTAATGAATGGTACGAAGCGGGCGGTGGCCGCACCCACCTGCATGCGGGCCGGCATTTAGTAACGTCAAGAACTGCGTCCTCGTTTCATTCAGCTGACTCGTCGCCCGGGAGCCACAACGGGGTCCAGATTTGTCTGCACACAGATGCTGTCCTCGGAGGTTGGATGTTGCACACATTTTCGCGACACTGGGCTGCGGTGGCGCGGGATGCTGATGCCATGTCTGATGCTGATACAACTTTGCAACATTCAACGCCGTAACTCCTACAGTGGGTGCATTATTGGATGCAGTTTTACTTAACATTTTATGCATCTCAAACTACCTATAACTCAATAAGAACAGTATAAGTGTATCCCAATATTTCCGCGAGCATGATGCAACAGACGGGGTTGCTATGGAGACTATTTAGGTCGACCAATAGAGAAGCATTATTTGTTGTTTTAATCCATCCTATTGGTAACTCATGCTCGTCTGACCGCAGCCGGGCAGCTTTCGTGCGATAGAATAGCATAAAATCAAGAGCCCTATGGTTTGGTCGTAATTCAAAGATTGTTGTGCATCCTTGACCCGTATTCGCTGGCGCTTACGCAGTAGATGTGCTTCACTTGGTCGTTTAGACAGGGCACATAGCTGCACGCTATTTTAGGGGTGATATGTGCAGCCGAAATCAACTAAAGAAAAATAAAGCTCAGCCATCGGTCCATTGACCGACGCAAATCATTCATATATTGGCTCGGAGCGTAATGACCGAGTGGTTAGTGTGTTGAACTCCCACGTGGAGATCCCGGGTTCGAATCCAGGGTGCGACACGGCCCACGAGCGCTAACGTGGCCAATGCAGCCGCTGGCGCTCGATAAAACGGGTGTGACGACGTGCGTCGCGTTCTCTTAAAAAGAAAATAGATTGGCTCACTACAGCCCAGCGGAAATAATATCATCAAAAGATCAATGGTGTATGGTGCAGGTAGGATCATCCGAACCATTGATCATGCGCACGTTTATTCTTGTAAGCCTAGTCCAGAGAGCTTTACCTCCAACTAACAAGCAGAGCTGCGACGCTCGACAGGCATCAGTAAAAAGGCTATGGAAACCACGAGAACTGAGCATGCTCGGGAAGTGGCAAACGAAGTTGGCGCAAAGGTCAGGTCAGGTGATGTGGCTTTGGAGGACCTGACGCCCGGCAACAGCTGGCATAAGGTGAGTTGTATTTCACTGGAGGTTCATTCGTGGCGTCAGTTAACTGGCTGCTGGTGGCAGGGATTCTTAGGAGTTCCTTCTGGCGCCCCAGCTCGCAGAAGGAGGCTAAGCGGGGGATGCAGTCATCACCTGTTGTCTATGTAGTCGGGTTCAGCGGAAGAGGCGCCAGATGGTAATTACGAGAAGCTGTCAATGGTGGCTATGAGGCTTGCCCCTGAATGCTGCGATGGCGGATCAAGGGTTATGGCTGGGGTATTTCGGTGCCACTTCACTCAGCTCGAAGATCCGCCGAAGCGAGAGTTCTTGAAGAGCCTGCTATATGATGGTTTACGGCAGGTTTTGAAGGCCTTTTTGATGGTTGTCGGCCTGTTTGCCCGCATTTAGCGGTAGGTAGCCCTGCCCTGATAGAGGCTGGCCATGACCTGCCCCCGTTCCAGAGCTCAGATTATAATCTTCCCCTCAGCTCACGGCCCCGAACAGAGCACCACCACCCGGCGCACCCAGCCCGGCGTCTTCCTGTCGACCGGCGGGCCAGGTCAGGCCATTCGCCTTCACGCTGGAGCTTCAGCGAAGCCTCCTCCCCACTCCGCGGCCGGGACGAGCAGATCCGCGCCCGCTTGCCACCCAGAGCGTCCCCGCCGCGGTGGCCCTCTCACCTGGGGTCAGATGATCCCGCCTGCACCTGAGCGTCCCCGCCGCGGGTGGCCCCCTCACCTGGGGGTCAGATGATCCCGCCTGCCACCAGAGCGTCCCCGCCGCGGTGGCCCTCTCACCTGGGGGTCAGATGATCCCGCCTGCCACCAGAGCGTTCCCCCGCCGCGGTGGCCCTCTCACCTGGGGGTCAGATGATCCCGCCTGCCACCTGAGCGCTCCCCGCCGCGGTGGCCCCCTCACCTGGGGGTCAGCCAGCAGGTCGTTTGTCGGCCCAGATGAGCGCTACCGGACACGTCACCCCGGTCCAGGGTGTACTCCGGCGGCGTGCGCTGCCCGTACCGCTGCATGTTCTCCTCCGAACCCCAGTCGAAGTGCGAGAACTTCTCTGAAACCCCGGACGTCGAGTCGGCACGGCCCCGGGCTTCGCCGCCGGTGGAGGGAGCATGTCGGCGCTTGTCTGGGCAGATGCGGGACGAAGGGCACCGCTGTCGCCGATTAACCGCCCTGGATTATTCATCGACGCCTGTTGCTGGGCGTGTCATTAACGTCGCCAACTCACGCGCCGGTTCTCACGGCGGTGTTGGTGAGCTGCACGACAGCGGCCGGATACGCGAGCTACACTGAAGTCAGAAGTAAGGAACCGCGCCAGATATGCAAACCAAAAACGGCCGACCGACCTCTGGGGACCGGTACTCCATCGTCGTGATGTGTTAGAGTGCCTGCACTGCGTGGACACGAAGGAAACTGCGGTCAGCGTGTCGTAGCACGTCACAGAAGAGTGAACTGCAGTACCCTACGATTGTTTAGCATGTGGTACCCCCCAAAAGTTGTATTCAAGTGATTTCCTGGCGCGTTTACGTCACAAAATAGCGCTACCGGGCGACGAATTGGTGCCTTATGGCTGGCTGCTCTTGCCAGGGCCTTGGTGCAGAAAGCTGAGCCTGAGCCTGCAGCTCACAATAGCCCTTCCTCTGGCAACTCACGCCGACCCGATCCGACCCCGACCCATCGCCTTTCCTCTCAAACTTCTTTTGATAATATGACATTGGCGAACGTTAGTAAGAGGACGCATTGTCAGGCCCTTCTCCAAATGCCGTTAGATATTTTTTTAAAACAGTTGTAGGTCTGCGTCATTCTAAAACCGGTGCCATGGAGACTGCACCAGCTTACAGTGTCTGGCAGCAGTGGGGGGGGGGGGGGGGGGGGGGCACTAAGCCCCAAGCCACGTTTCGAGTCTCTCCTGAACAAAGATGGGCATCTATCGAGTCCTGCGGCGCCTGCAGTTGTCTGCGCAGCGCTCCACGCAAAAAAACGACCTCAACATCCCACGATAGACTCT